GCAATATGCAGAGTTACTTCGGCTAGCATGAATCCCAACGCAGCTGTTGGCGTGGTTCTCATAGCTCCCGTAATACCCCTGAAAATCATTGCTTGCAGTTGGTCCAGTTTCTCTTTAACCGTTATCAGTTGAGTCCTAGACCACCAAACAACCACCGCGTGAACCTGGGTTTTAAGATCATCTGATAGAGCCAGTTGACCATATTAGGCCTTAGTCCCCACGATGACCCTATCGCCCTTCTACACGCCCAAAAAGCAGTACAGAACCTTCTATACTGATATTCAAAATGTTCCTTCCAAATCAACTTTTTATCCAGGATTACTCCCAGATACTTAGCCGATTCAGAAAAAGAAATTTCTTTTCCATAAAATATCGGTTTCTTCAAACTCGGTGCCTTATATTTTCTTGTAAAAACTACTATATTCGTTTTCTCTGGGTTTACAGAAAGTCCAGTCAGATTGCATCAATCCTTGACAATCTTAAGTGCACGTTCCGTAAGTTCTAAGAGGGTCTCAATTGAGTGCCCTCTTATAATTATAAGGAAATCATCCGCATAACTTTGCGTATAATATCCCTGGCTACTGAGGTTTCTAATTAACTTATCTGCTACTAAGCACCACAATAAAGGAGAGAGGACTCCTCGTTGTGGGCACCCTTTTGAGTCAAGGCCTGTTACCTTAGCCTCACCATACTTCGCTTCAAGGGCCCTTTCGCGAAGCATGCTGTCGATCCACTTAACTAGCGGCTCGGGCACACCTCGCATCCTGGCTGCCCTACAGATAGCTTTGCTAGAGGTGTTAGGGAAGGCACCTTCGATATTAAGAAAGGTACAAACCGCATAGCCACCACTGCTGATTTGTTCCTCTATTCTACCTACTGCTGAACGAAGGGCTGTTTCTACTGAGAAGCCTGCTCTATATGCATGCTGTCCCTGATGTAGGGGATGATATCTAAGACATTCCTGCCTAATAAAATTATCCACCAGTTTCTCTAACGTCTTTAATATAAAAGAAGTTAAGCTGATTGGCCTGAAGTCCTTCGCCGCAGTATACCCTGACCGACCGGCCTTCGGAATAAACACAACCCTCGTCTTTTTCCAAGACTCCGGTGTGTAACCAAGAGCTATACACGCTCTCATAATTTTACACAGGGGTACTCTAATACACTCCAATCCCTTTTGCAAAAGAACCGGAAATATACCGCCCCCCCTGAAGCCTTAAATGTTAAGTTTGAAAGTGCTTATTGCCTAATCAATCCCTTCCGGAGTTACGATCCTGGCTGCTAGTTTCCAGTGTCCCCGATATCCTTGGTTCCTACCTGGTCCTATGCCATGGCTGTTCTCCGAACCTTCTCTAAAGTCCGGGAAGTTTACCTCCATTAGGTGCTTTATACACTCCCTTTTATCCTGGGCAAACTGCCCATTAGGCAGCTTAATAGTAGTTAATTTTTCCATTGGGTCTCGAGCTAGTACTTTATGAAGTCTTGATGCTTCTGGTACCCTCTCCATTCCTTCGCAAAAACTTCTCCAGCTGACACTCCTTGTCCTCTCTACTTCTTTCTTGTAAGAATCGCGAGCGGTATGATATTCATCCCATGCTCGCTGATGCCTACGTTTCTTGGCTTTATTAAAAAGCTTTCTTACTGTTTTTCTATGTTCCTCCAAACAGGGGGTCCACCACTTACTACCCCCATTGAAGCCCATTTTCTTAACTACACAGTTCCTTTCAAAGGAGCAGATAATAGAATCTCGCAGGTATTCCGCTGCAAGTTCTAACTCCTCCCGCGTTACATACGAAGTGGGAAAACATGCCATGGAGGTCTTCAGGTCTTCAATATATGAAGCATAGTCAGTAATCCTGGGATTACGTCCCCACTCCTGTTCCCGATCCTTCAATTCCAATCTAAACGTTATAAGCCTGTGGTCCGAGAGGGAATCTTCATCAGACACCCTCCAGTCCCTCACGCCATCACACAAAGACTTAGAACAGATCGTAATATCCAACACCTCTTTTCTGTTAACAGTAACGAAAGTCTGCTCATTACCCTGATTTAAAATATCTAAATCTATATCTATCAGAAAATCTAAAAGTCTTCTGCCTCTGTCGTTAATGTCAGTGCTGCCCCATACGACATGGTGCGCATTGGCATCACAACCTATTATCAAAGGGAGACCTTGCCGTTGACAGTAATCTACCAACTTCTCCACCTCTGTAGGTGGTGCGGGGTCATCCCCCGATCCCGGAAAATATGCGGATGCTACTACAACCTCCCTTTTATTTCCGTTTTTTTCTAGGTACTTAGCCTTAACAACAACTAAGTCCCTGGTAGTTAATTCCAATAGAGGGAAAGCATCTAGACCTTTATAGATCAGGCAAGCCCTTGGAACTGGTTCCTGTGGTGAACTAACTAGCACTCCACAGCCACTTAGACCTCTAATCTTACCCTTGTAAACCCAAGGTTCTTGAACAAAGGCTATAGCTGCCTGCATCCTTGCAAAGTTCCTGGCTAGAATCGCCGAAGCGCCTTTACAATCATGCAAGTTAATCTGCATACAGTGGATCCCGGAAGCAGCCATATTTAAGACTGACTCACAGTCCCCTCTGTCGCGTCCACACCTTGATTGCCATCATCGTGATCCCCCAAAAAGGGCTCTTCGACGCTCACGTGTGTGGTTTTATTTTTATTAATTTCTGTAGTATCAATTATGGTCCCACGAGAAAAGAGGAAAGAAAGGTCAATTCTTAAAGAGCCTCTATTTGAGGAAAAGGCTGAATTACATCTGAAAGTTCGCCTGGTATCTCAGAATCTCGTTCAAGATACCTCCATTCGAGCCCCACCCCGGGGACGGGTCGTCCAGAAGACGGGCCCTTCCTGTAACACAACCGTTCCCGAGCTTTACGGTTTACGGTTAATTGTGCCCAGCAAAGGTCGTCCCCGTCCAACCCCCTCCCCACGGAAGAACCCGACGGATTTGTTAACCCTAGTATCATTCATCCATGGACACGAGTTCATCACGGATTAGGTGGCAGAGACTCGCGCCTCAATCGCCATGATACAGCCAACGTAACCATGGAAGGGTTTCTTTTTGGTCAGACTTTCACCAGTAGGAAGTCTTCGGAATGGACCCGCGGTCCATTGGTACAGTTGGTTTTAATTCTGCCTTCTTAGTTTGAACGTGTCGCACTCGTATGTTTCCATGGGAACATATGAGTGCGACACCTTTATACGACGAAGGCATTTTTGTAACCTACTGTACATAGACTGTTCAAGAATAATATGTAAATACTATTTTGTCGACAAAAATTCATTAAACTATTTTTCACATAATAATTAAAAATTTTAAACATTATATTTTGTTGATAATTTTTAGGGGTACAAATCAGTTTAATTATAATACAAAATATAAAGAAGAGGTTATATGGTGCTGAAATATCAAAGTAAAAGTGAAAAAATTGTAAAGTCGATATTTTAAATATGTCATATAGTAAATATATCATATAGTAAATGCATCCTTAAATTTCAAATGTGTTTTTCTCAAAACTGCGTACACTGTAACTCGCTCAACTGTAACTTCTCAAATAAATTATCTAGGGAGATAATAAAGATTGAAAATAAAATTTTAAAACTATGAAAAAATATGAGACTAACTTTGCTGGGGCTCGAAACCCCAGCAAAGTTAGGGTGCTATCCCATGTGAGCAGAATACGTCGACCGAAAGCAGAAAATCATGAGTGCAAAAGAGATAGGTAGATATTGTTGTTCTTTGCGCTCTTATGATTTTCTGCTTTCGGTCGACGTATTCTGCTCACATGGGATCGCACCCTTAGTCTCACATTTTTTCATAGTTTTAAAATTTTATTTTCAATTATTATTGTTTTGATGGGCTAGGTTTAGATATCGGTACTTCTAGAATTTGAAACTTGGTCGATATGGTAGGTTTCAGCTTCACATTTAGTGAAGGGTCATACTAATGAAATGACAATTGTTTCGTAAAAAGTTCTGGGAAAATTCAAAAATAATAAAGATTGTTAATTACAATTTAAAGTCGATTCTTAGTTAAAAAATTTTTTTTAAATTTTAAAACTGTTGCCAATTTGCGAATTTTTTATAAAAATAAAAAATCGTGGGTACTTTCCTAGCAAAAGTAATGTAGATTAACGACAAATTTTGTTTTTTGCTCTTTGTGCTGTTCGGAGAATGTTATGTTGTACGCAGATTCGCTTTTAAAAAACTCATTTTCCGTTTATCTTTAGCACGACGAGACTCTGTCCTATCATAAAAGAAAAGAGATGAAAATATAACATTCAATTGTTTTCATAGTTTTTCTCGCGAGATTCTCGGTTTTTTGGGACGAGACTCGCTCGAAGTGCATCACCTTAGTCAAAGCCCTATTTTGTATCAAAACTTATAAATAAATTTTTTTTCTATATCTCAAAACGTGTATAAAATAAAGCCTCAGAATTTTATTTTGATCCATAGAATAATTTGCAAGAAAAAAATTCCCAAAAAAAGTTCATTTTTCAGTGCGCCTGGGTAGTATAACCCCTTAATTGATTTGATTTTCACTTTACTTTGACCGTATTTTAATTTTTTTACTCTTTTGCGAGTTTTGACGTTTCGACACAAACTATCACTGAAAAGCACGTGTCTAGTAAAACAATTAAAACGCGGTCAAAGTCAAATTAAAATCAAATCAATTTACCCGTAGGTAATATGCGCCGAAGGTTATTGCAACTTGCAACTGACCAGCCTATTTCAGAAAACTAAATCATCATGTATCCCCACACCTAAGTTGTACCTCCTTTTCAAGTCTTCTTAATTTTCTTCTTTCTGCTTCACAAAAATTTTCATTTTTTGATAAAATAAAGGCTTTTCCATAAATAATTAATCAGGAATTTTCAAACTTAAAAAAGACCTTTTTCTATAGTTATTTTCAGTTTTTTACATTATTCTCTAAAAGTCACGATTCTGTATAATTACCCAACAATTTATTTCTGTACCTTGGTCTTACAATTTCTTCTTCTGAAAAACTTTTTTCCAATCCTATATTTTCAGAAATTTTTTCACTTTGAGTGTTTTTCTTAATTAAAGGGCTGGATGCAATAAATGGACAAACGCGTGGTTGAAAGGGATAATACCAGTCAGGTAGCAGGGAGCGGCTCAAGGCTTGTCACTGTTACCCGACTGGTAGTATCCCTTCCAAGTCTCGCGTTCGTCCCCTTATTGCAGCCAGCCCTTCAATTGTTGTCTGAAAGAAGCTCTCTCTCTCTTTCTCTCTCTCTCTCTTTGAAAAGTCCTTTAACTCCATACCATTATTTTCATGTAACTTTTTCTCTTCTTTCTGACAAATTTCACCCTTTTCTGTCATTTTATAATGTTTGGATTGATTATTAAAATGATTGATGTCAAAAAATTCGAGGTCCTTTCTAGTAACATTGTAATTTCTTTCCAATTTCGAAGTTAGTACTGTAGTTGTCAAAATCAGGATAATGCTGCAAAAATGACAGTTTCATGTAAAAAATAATTAATTCTTTAAAATAATGTAAATTTAAGAAGAAATAAAAATCTTAATTTTAAAAAAATTCTGCAGTTACACGTATACTGAAAAAATGTTGAGTGCCGAGCAATTCCAATCGTCGGAAAGTGGAGAAACTCAATAGCTTGGATGTGCTACGATCTCAATTCAGGAAATCTACGTTCCCATATCGGTAGCGCTGAACACCCAAGATTTGAGACTCTAAACCTTGGAACTGCAATAGCCTCATCTTGGGCGCTCAGCACGCCCGAGTTAGAATTGTAGCTTCTCCAAATTAAAGTCGTATCGCATTCGTAAATTTTCGGTCTACTTGGAACGGCTCGTCATCCAAAATTTTTTCTATAAAGAGACACATAATAAGTGACATACAAACAGCCATTTAAAATTTTTGTAAACAAACATCAGATAATGGTTTATATTTTGTGTACCATGTATCATATAAAGGGTAAAAAAAAAAAAAAAAAAAAAAAAAAAAACCGTTTGTACATTTTAGATGGGATTTTTTAGAGTAGCTCTAAGTTGTGGTTCGAAAAACCAATAATATCCGAGTTTAAGCAAAAGTTTATTGATGAATTTTATTCAATACCGGTACGTGTGCAAATAAGAAAGCGTAATCTACAAGGACGCATGTTCCACCTCGGCATAAAAATTTCCCCACCTTTTCTGCAGAAAATCAGAATTTCAAACTAAAGGTTCGTAAAGTTTGTGTAAATTTCTGTTATTATAAAAGAGGGGATCTTTGGTTCGGTTACGCAGCCTAGATGGAAAGCAAGTATCTCCCTACCATCGATACGACATAAAATCTTATTGGCGAGAATATCCCCGCGTGACTCTCCCAAACTTGTTAATCCCTTCTTCCTCTCTGGGAGGAAGGTGTTGAATATACGAGAAATCCTTAATATGAAACCTTATTACTGTCTTTTTTTACAAAAAACGATCACTTTTTAGAGAAGTTGACAGCTGTCAACTGTCAAACTGTCAATTTAACATCATATTCGTAATCAGCGGCCTCGAAAACCCTTACAAACATGTGTCACTTATTTATACTTATTGTTGCTAGTTAGAAAACTTAGATTTTTTTTCTATGTTTGGGGAGTTTGTTATTAATTTATATAAACAATTATTTAAAAAAAATTTTCTTTACTTGTATGTTTTTTATTTTGATACTGTCATTCACGGTGAAGAAAATTTTTTTTGGAAAAACTTCCTGATTATTAAAGGAAAAACTTTCTCACGAGAAGTTTTCATACTTCGAAAATTCGTCGCATACTTTTTCTCCTTGAAGATTGAAATTCCTGTTATTGTAAATGGTGGATTCCACGTCAGTTCAACACACTTATTTTCATGACTTGTTGGGATTTGGCTGTACTTTTGTAAATTTATTACTTTTATAGTGATAAACAACTCCACCAAATATTTTTTCAAAATTTTGAAAATTACCAAAAATATGTCATTTTCAAAATTTTTGTCTTTTTTTTGAAAGTGTTATAACTTTAGTTCTAATTGACTGATTTTGGATTTTAAAAAAAGGATTTATTTGGTTTTAAGTATATTTTAAGTTAAAATTAATATAAAAAAAAAATTCAAAAATTTTTTTTTTAATTTTGAAAAATTAAAAATCTGTTTTTGAAAAAACATCATCTTCGATTTTTTTCAAAATTTTACTAAATGTTAGGGCAAATGTGCTTTACATGTCCTGTAAATTTCATCTTGGGATCTCAAAGGGATTCGGAATAAAAAAAATAAAACGTAACCACAAATTACGAGTATATGGGGCAAAATTCCTCAACTGCCCAGGTAAAAAAAAGAATTTTCTCTAAACTTTGCTAAAATGTTACTATTATTAGTCCAAGTGGAAATATTAATTTTTTTTTGAATTTGATAAAATATTGTTTGAGTTATGGAGTTTCAAAATTTTGATTTTTTTGAAAATATCTTTTATTTAATATATTGATAAGTAAAATTAATCAAATTTAAAGTATGAATAGTGATTTTTAAAAAGGGTTTCACGGGCTATAAGCTGGTGACCTTTTTTCATATGAGCCATGTAAAAATCAGAGTCGGACTATGAGATTTTTTGAGGAAAATAATAATTTATAATTATTTTACATAGAAAATGATGATTTATAATTATTTTACATAGAAAATTATGATTTATAATTATTTTACATAGAAAATGATGATTTATAATAATTAATTTCTTCAAAAAGTTTATGGCCCCACTCTGATTTTTACAAGGCTCATATGAAAAAGGTAAGCTTTCGATTGGGATAGGTTACAAAAAAATAAAAAACACCGATTTTGAGATACAGTAGAACTTGGTTAATACGATTCTGTAGGGACCGCACTAAGAATGCGTCTTATGCGGGAAAACGTATTAGGTGGGATATAAAATGTATGTCTTTAATTGCAGGGACCACCATAAATGAGCGTCTTAAGCGGGAAATCGTATTAAACGGGATCGTATTAACCGGGTTCTTCTGTATGTTGAAATTAAGAATTTGACCTTGAATTTCAAGGTCAAATTGACAAAAAACAACTTTTTTCATAACCAGCCCGAGAAAACCACTTTAAAAGTCACTATTCATACTTTAAATTTGATTAATTTTACTTATCAATATATTAAATCGAAAAAAAGATATTCTCAAAAAAATCAAAATTTTGAAACTCCATAACTCAAAAAATATTTTATTAAATTCAAAAAAAAAATAATATTTACACTTCTACTAACACAGGTTTACAAATTAAAAACTTTTTTTTGCCAATCGAACAAAACAATTTTTTTTCGAATAGTAGGTGTTTTTTAAGTAAGAAAATCATAGTTTTAATTTTTTTCCCTCGTGCAGTTCTTCTGTAGCTTCAAATTTTGCATTTTCGAGGTGCGACGCCACTTAAACTTACCTGTAGGAAAATTAGCTTGTCAAAATATAATAAATGAGGTATCATTGGAAAGGTTATTAAATTACCTTTTATCCATAGGTCACAGAATAAAGTTCAACAAAAAACGAGAGAGTTACAGTCGATTAAAGATCAAATTTCATGACAATTTTGATGATTTTTAGACATTTGAGTAACTTCTACTATTTTTTTCTACATCAAACAGGAAAGAATGTTTAGGTTTTAATTTTTTATTGATGGACTATATCATTACACAAATTTTGAGCCCTTGTGGACCTCGATTGGATTAAAAATGACAATTCTACACTAAATTTAGTGAACGAAACTACATTCTTCATTTTTAGTATCCCTTAAACATTTGCAGCAAAAATTGAAGTAATAAAATTTAGTTAAGCTCTAAAGTTAGTAAAATCACTAATAAAGGATTTCTGAAATCGTAGATTTCGAATCCAATGTTAGTTTTCTAAATTTCAAAATGGCGGATCCAATATGGCGTCACGTTTTTAAAAATCGATTAAATTCGTCTTAAATTCGTTACTCGGGGGTTTTCGGGATCGCTGATTACGAATCTGATGTCAGATTTTAAAAATTAAAAATGGCGGATCCAATAGGTGCAAATTCGATGGATTTTAAAAAACTCGTTCACCATTATGAATCCATCCTTTTCAATTTTCGAAATCCGACATCAGATTCGTAATCAGCGACCCCAAAAACCCCCGAGTAACGAATTTAAGACGAATTTAATCGATTTTTAAAAACGTGACGCCATATTGGATCCGCCATTTTGAAATTTAGAAAACTAACATTGGATTCGAAATCTACGATTTCAGAAATCCTTTATTAGTGATTTTACTAACTTTAGAGCTTAACTAAATTTTATTACTTCAATTTTTGCTGCAAATGTTTAAGGGATACTAAAAATGAAGAATGTAGTTTCGTTCACTAAATTTAGTGTAGAATTGTCATTTTTAATCCAATCGAGGTCCACAAGGGCTCAAAATTTGTGTAATGATATAGTCCATCAATAAAAAATTAAAACCTAAACATTCTTTCCTGTTTGATGTAGAAAAAAATAGTAGAAGTTACTCAAATGTCTAAAAATCATCAAAATTGTCATGAAATTTGATCTTTAATCGACTGTAACTCTCTCGTTTTTTGTTGAACTTTATTCTGTGACCTATGGATAAAAGGTAATTTAATAACCTTTCCAATGATACCTCATTTATTATATTTTGACAAGCTAATTTTCCTACAGGTAAGTTTAAGTGGCGTCGCACCTCGAAAATGCAAAATTTGAAGCTACAGAAAAACTGCACGAGGGAAAAAAATTAAAATTATGATTTTCTTACTCAAAAAACACCTACTATTCGAAAAAAAATTGTTTTGTTCGATTGACAATTTCACTGTAAACCAGTGTAATAATAGTAACATTTTAGCAAAGTTTAGAGAAAATTCTTTTTTTTACCTGGGCAGTTGAGGAATTTTGCCCCATATGTTCGTAATTTGTGGTTACGTTTTATTTTTTTACTCCGAATCCCTTTAAGATCCCAAGATGAAATTTACAGGACATGTAAAGCACATTTGCCCTAACATTTAGTAAAATTTTGAAAAAAATCGAAGATGATGTTTTTTCATAAACGGATTTTTTATTTTTCAAAATTTCAAAAAAAAAATTTTTGAATTTTTTTTTATTTTAATTTTAACGTAAAATATACTTAAAACCAAAGAAATTCTTTTTATAAATTCAAAATCGGTTAATTACAACCAAAGTTATAACACTTTAAAAAAAAAGACAAAAATTTTGAAAATGTCATATTTTTGGTAATTTTTAAAATTTTGAAAAAATATTTGGTGGAGTTGTTTATCACTATAAAAGTAATAAATTTACAAAAGTACAGCCAAATCCCAACAAGTCATGAAAATAAGTGTGTTGAACTGACGTGGAATCCACCAATAATAACTTTTAAAATTAATAACTAATAAACAATTTGATTTTTTATACTTTTTACTTGTTTGTAGGCTTCGGTAAGGTATATTGTGCATGTGTTAAAAAAATCGGTTCATTTCATTAATATTTGACTGTGGACTGACGATATATTTATCAAAAGGCAATTAATTTTTAAGAGAAAAAATGTTTAGTTTTTATTTTTTAGTGTTAATAAATTGCATTTTAGAAAAAAATTGTAAATAGAAAAAAGATGTATTTTTTTTCCTCTACAACGTCATAATTTTTAAATATTTTTTATTTAGTTTTAAAATTTTATAACATAGCTGAGGGTTGGACAATACTTCTGCGTAAGTTCGAGCGAAGAGCCGGCTTTTAATTCCAGCTCCTCAATTATTATGTCGTCTTTATATTTAGGGGGCATTCCACGCCAAGTCGGAAATCAAATTTGAGATGCATAAGCAAAAGCTTTTACATCTCAAATTTTCTTTAAACTTTTTTTTTCTTTTAGTACTCTTTGAAATGAGATACATTAATTTTAAAAAAAAATTATATAAAGCGCTTCAGATTTTTGAAAAATGGCGTTTTTTACGTAATTTTTTTTAAATGCTTTTAGGAACTCAGTCAAAAATTGATCAAATTGGACGTTCTTTAATGAAAAATTTTTTTTTCACACGTAGTTTTTAATAAAAATATTTTTAAAATAATTTTTGATAAGATTAAAAAATTTTTAAATAAAATTTCATTTTTAACAATATAGGGGTCATTCACAAACTACGTCACGCTTTTTCAGGCTGATTTTTACCCTCTCCCCCCCTTCGTCCCATTTTTTACATACAAAAATTTTTTTTCCACATTTCGTCACACACAGCTTGACACCCCGCACCCCTAGGAGTGTGACGTAGTTTATGAACGACCCTGTATGTATCGATCAATTTTTTTCAAAATTTTATGTAAGTGTCGATTTTGTATTTCGCGGTACGCTTGATTGACTCTAGCGGTTACGAGTCTGATTACACTTCCGTATGCGCGCGCACTCCCTCACCCTCTTCTTATTCGGCTTCGATCCTGTTTGCCTCGTATCGATTTGATCATGAGTAAACGACAGTTTTCTTGTGGGTATTTATAGTGTATTTATTGACTACATCCTGCCCAAATAAACTATATGCTAACAGGTTATGGGCCTAGCAACAATTTAACTCCACTGGATGTAGTTTTAAGTGACTTTAATTGAAAATTCGGTTTTGGGTTTTGTGTGCTCTCGGCGTGTTCAGACGCTTCTCCCGGCAGCCATAGTTATCAGTGCCCAGGACTGTAACGAGTTTTCCACGACTAAATATGGGTCATTCTCACAATCGGGACACATGACACGTACATTAGATTTTTTAAAATAAATAATAATAATTTTTCAAAACCTTTACGTCCTAATAATAGCATTCATCATGATTTAATCGGATCCTATGAAAAATAAATCGAAAATTTGAAATATTTAAAGATACACGTGTTTATATAGCATAAAAACTCCCCTCCGTTACCGTTCATGAAGTAAGTTTCATTTATAGAAAAGGTATTATATTAATTCTGTAATACAAAAAAATCTTTTGCCCGGTAATATCTACTTATTATTTTATTTGTAATTGAATCATGAAGAATAAAGTAAAATATTTGTTAATTATTTTTCCCTAGAATTAAATTAGTTTTGTGCAGAAATAAAACTCCCCTCCGTTACCGCTCACAAATATAATTATAAAATATAAACAAAAAGGATAAAATAGAAATAAATACATCAAAACTCTTTGTAGTGTCAGTATAGTTATGGTTATTGCATAAAATGATGAAATAAAATGAAAACAATTAGTTTTAAAAGAATCTCTAGTTTGTCAGTGTTCATCGACACAATAAAAACTCCCCTCCGTTACCGCAGTAAATTTAGTTTTTAGGACGTAAATAATAATAATTATTAATAATTTTTAAAACATTGTTTTATTTAAAAACAAAGAAAACAAATGCTGTCATTAATTTATTTATAATATTTATTTTTTTTATATTAGAATGATAACATTTTGAAGCTGTACAATGAAAGAAAACTCCCCTCCGTTACCCATGGCATATTTCCATTACACAGCACGTAAATTACAGACTTTATTAATCATCGGATTCATTTGAAACTCGTTACTCGGGGGTATTCGGGGTTGCTGATTACGAATCTCATGTCAGTTTTTGAAAATTCAAAATGGCGGATCCAACATGGCGGACAATTTTTTAAAGCATTCATCGGATTTGCTTAAAACTCGTTACTCGGGGGTTTTTGGGGTCGCTGATTACGAATCTGTTATTAGTTTTTATAAATTCAAAATGGCGGATCCAACATGGCGGACACTTTTTGAAAAATTCATCGGATTTGCTTGAAACTTGTTATTAGGGGGTTTTCGGGGTCGCTGATTACGAATTTCAGGTCAGTTTAAAAAAATTTAAAATGGCGGATCCAATATGGCGGATAATTTGCAGATTGATGCTATTCGATAGAAATTCGTTCCTCAGGGGTTTTTGGGGTCGCTGAATTCGAATTTGATGTTTGTTTTTGAAAATTGTAAATGGCTGATCTAGTATGAATAATTAATTAGATTGGCTTAAAACTTGTCGCTCTGGGGCTTTCGGGATTTTGAATTTTCAAAAACTGACATCGGATTCGTAATCAGCAACCCGAAAATTCCCGAATTACGAGTTTCAAGCAAACCCGATGAATTTTTGAAAAAAGTGTCCACCATATTGGATCCGCCATTTTTAATTTTCAAAAACTAACTTGAAATTCATAATCAGCGACCCCGAAAACCCCCGAGTAACAAGTTTCAAGCAAATCCGTTAAATTTTTGAAAAAAGTGTCCGCCATATTGGATCCACCATTTTGGATTTTGAGAAACTGACATCGGATTCGTAATCGGCGACCCCTAGAACCCCTGAGTAACGAGTTTTAATTAATTTTCATCAATTTTGAAACCCATTTAGCTGCGAAAAATTTTCAACAAAAATTTTGAATAAAAAACATTAATTTTTAATAATAATGTTGATAAAGATTGTAACCACGTATTTTATAGGCTTATTAGGATCCCCCTTTTGCCAAAGGACTAATAATAAAAGTGATTTTTCAACTTTTTTTTTAAATGAAATTTCAATTCTGAATTTGTTCTTTTCTAGAGATTGACCCATATACGAAGTGTTTTAAGAATTATAACGACTTTTCGCAATGTCCACGATTACCAAGAGGGTGATCAACCGTTGTAAGAGAGCCATGGAGATGGAAGTCGAGGACATAGAGGTCCGAATAAAAATGGACGATATCTTCTTCACGGTAATCTTTGCCGAGGGAGAGACGATCAGCTTAAGTTAGTAAAGAATTTTACTTTACACTGTAAAAATTTTTTTCGAAATTTTTAGAAAAACTGTTCGCCAGTTTTATTTCGCAAAGGTTAGAAATTTTTCGAAACAATAATGTCGAAAAATTTCGAAATCTGTTTCGAATTTTTCCGAACAGTGTAGTAAAAAAAATTTCGAAACTCTGTTCGAATTTTCTAGCAACGTTTTTAGATAAATTTCGAAACTCCTTTCTACTTTTTTCTGACCAAACGTTAAGAAAAATTTCTACAACCTATTCGATTTTTTTCGAAAAAAATATTTAGATAAATTTCGAAACTTTGTTCGATATTTATAGCAACGTGTTCCGATATATTTAGTAAAATTTTCGGATATTTTTCTAACTAAAAATTTAGAAAAATTGCAAAGCTAATAAAGATTTTTTGCTCTACAAATAGTAAGGATGTTTTTTAATTTAATTTGGTATTATTTGTTCACTAATATTAACTGCAGTTATTTAATTAATGCTGTTCCAATAAGCATAAAAATTATAAATGGGTGCAAAATAGAGATAAAACGATTTAATATAAGGGTAAGACTCCGTCAGAAAAATTACAATTTGCATGGGGTCTTCGGATTATTCTGTAATTTGGCGAAGTTGTTATATTTGATAACAAAAATAAGTGTACTAAAGGATTTTTAAAAATTTTCAAAATTGTAAAAGTTACTCCATTTTGAATTTTTTTATAAGATTTTTTTCAAATGTGAATATTTCCGAAACAATTTAACGGATTTTAATAAAATTTAAATATGTTATAGTTAAAATCATGTCCTTTCAGAATTTTTCAAAAGAAAAACAAAATTTTTGTTTTTTTTTCAAAAAAAAGTAAAAAAAAAATTTTTTGAATCGATTTATTAAGCACGGGACCGATTTTTAAGTATTTTTCGATATATAATAAAATATTCCTTATATTTTCACTTTTCATTTACAAAAAAGAAAACGATGGAGACTTTAATAGTTTTCGAGATATTGCAATTTTTGTGGAAGCGCGACCGCGTTTCAGTGCCAGCGCAGTATCTTTTACCCGGGACGCCTCACAGTGGGATTTTTTACACTTTACTCTTCAAAATTGTCTAGAACCTACAAATTTTATTGGATTTTGATGTTCTTGGTCATAAATGAAAGAGGATAAAATTTCTAAGAGATCTGTTTAAACTGATTTTTGAACTTTTAATTGTTTATTTATTTTTTTGTTACTCAAAGTTAACAATTTAAAATATTCTTGTATAAAATACTGTTTATTTTTTATTTTTCCATTGCACAAGATCGAAACCAATTTAAATTAGTCTAGTCTGACCACCTGACAAATAATAATGCATAATACAGTTTATTTAAATTGTTAAAAATAACAATTTAAATTAACAAATAGATAACTTTGGTCTTTTTTTTAAATTCTTTTTTTGTTGACAAATTTATGTTTATTTAAGTAATGTATGTCTATTTTGTAAGAAAATGATTTGAAAGTTAACAATTATCATTGTTATTAATAATTATATAACCATCAATAATCTATTTTCTTTTGCATTTATAAACATTTCCAGCATTTTTTAAACTTTAAATATTTATATCATATGTACATTCTTTCAAAAACTTAAAAAATTTATTAGCTCAAACAATTACATTTGTTATAAAGAAATTATTAACTTTATAAACAAATAAATGGCTTATTTCTGCAAAAAAATAGAACCTTTTTGAACGAATTTAACATTTTAAAGCTCTACTTAAATATCGATAACTTTTGAGTATTGTTAATATCAATGATAATCATTAACTTTAAAATCATTTTTTTACAACGTAGACATGAATTACTTAAATAAACATAAATTTGTCTAAAACAACAATTTTTTTAAAAAGACCAATATTATCTATTAGTTAATTAAAATTGTTTTAAAATCAATAAGTAAATTTTTTAAGTTTTTGAAAGAATGTACATATGATATAAACATTTTAAGTTTAAAAAATGCTGGAAATGTTTATAAATGCAAAAGAAAATAGATTATTGGTTATATAATTATAATAATAATAATTTTTATTTCTGCTTTTAAAAATTATACGTTTTGTAGCATAAATAATGCTCGCAGTAGTAAACTATTTATTATATAGTGACAAATATTCTTTAATCTTTTCTCGTCAGGCGCATTGCACAGCTGGCTCAAGTCGTATCCAAACTCTAGCTTCTTCAAGTAAAATATGACTAGACTAATTTAAATTGATTTCGACCTTGTGCAATGGAAAAATAGAAAATAAACAGTATTTTATACAAAAATATTTTAAATTGTTAACATTGAGTAACAAAAAAATAAATAAACAATTAAAAATTCAAAAATCGGTTTAAACAGATCTCTTAGAAATTTTATCCTCTTTCATTTAAGACCAAGAACATCAAAATCCAATAAAATTTGAAGGCTCTAGACAATTTTGAAGAGTAAAGTGTAAAAAATCCCACTGTTAGGTGTCCCGGGTAAAAGATACTGAGCTGGCACTGAAACGTGGTCACGCTTCCACAAAAATTGCAATATCTCGAAAACTATTAAAGTCTCCATCGTTTTCTTTTTTGTAAATGAAAGGTGAAATTATAAGGAATATTTTATTATATATCGAAAAATACTTAAAAATCGGTCCCGTGCTTAATAAATCGATTCAAAAAAATATTTTTTACTTTTTTTTGAAAAAAACAAAAATTTTTTTTTTCTTTTGACATGATTTGAAGTATAACATATTTAAATTTTATTAAAATCCGTTAAATTGTTTCGGAAATATTCACATTTGAAAAAACTCTTATAAAAAAATTCAAAATGGCGTAACTTTTACAATTTTGAAAATTTTTGAAAATCCTTTGGTACACTTATTTTTGTTATCAAATATAACAACTACACCAAATTACAGAATAATCCGAAGACCCCATGCAAATTGTAATTTTTCTGACGGAGTCTTACCCATAAGTATAGATATATAAAGTTTTTCTTTTACTATAAATTAACAATTTTACTTATAAATAAGTATGGTAATTATTACAATTAAATTACAATTATTTCACATAATTTTTTGATTTCGTTGAATAAATTAATTTAATAATTTTCACACAACATAAATTTAAAATACATCACTTCTTTATCACACAAAAATAACTTTAAACAATTCACTTCACAACAAAAAAATGTTTACTTAAAAATATTCACTTCACCACAAAATTTCATAACTATACCTTACAAAAAAAATTAATTCACAACGAAATACTAACTTTAAAATAATTTTGTCACGCGCGATTTTAGTGTATTTCTGACAAATGCTAAAGAGCAACTGACGCTCGAAAGTCTTTTGGAAGAAGATTTTACAGTCAATATTTGAAACTCACGAATACTTCAAATTTTCTTTCTAAATGAATCTATAAGAAAAAAACTAGAACCGAAAACTTATAAAATAGACCCGTTTACAATAAGGAACCCTTAGAGATGGTCAACCGATGGCAAACCAGATGTGACAAACCTTTAGAAACTATGAAATACTTTAAAAATTCACAACTTTGCTTTCAGGAAAAAATTTTTCTTGTTATAATAATAAATAAAACTGTTTATTTTAATTATTTGTAAAATAATAATTATTTATAAATAGACTAAAATTATGATAAAATGTTGAATTATATTTATAAAAATATTTCTGAATTTTTTAAGGTCAGCATTTTCAAATAAAATTTATGATGAAAATGATTTGTTATTAATAAAAAAATAGTTTGTTTTACAAACACTTAATAACAAGGGAGGACTATATAATCCATTAATATAAAGTTGTTAAATATGTTTAAATTCAAATATCTTTTAAACTGTAGTGTCATTAATTATTAATTTTTACTATATTAAAAAATACAGAATTTGTTCTTAATGGGTGATTCTCCAAAAAACCTCATTTTGCATGTAATCAAGATTTTCTAAATTATTATAATCGTTTGGGAAAATACCAAGTCATATTTCCCTATTTTATCACTTTTTCTAAATATTCTGCAAGAAAAAGTTGTAAAATTTTATTGTTTAATACATTTTTAAAATATTTTACCACCTCAAAATCGATTTTCTAACCTGTCATCTAAGTGCTTTTCATTTTTTCAATAGGTAAAACAATTATTTAAAACATGAAAATTGATACTTTATTAATTTTTTCTAAAAGTTATGATATTTAAGAATAATTTTCAAAAATATAAATAAAATATGTCGTGTAGTTTTTTTAAATATAGAAAATGAAATTTGTCATGTAGTACCGCGTCATTCCTCTCACTCGTTGAATATTATCCAATATTTTTGCTGTGGGTAGAGATATTGATTAATTATTGTGATCAATATTTAAATTAACATCTCTAATATTAATTTCTTAAGTTACTTTTTAAAAAATGTCATTATTTTGCGTTAAAAAAATTAAAATTGAGACATAAGCAGAGATTCACAACCTAAAGCGTCATTCCTCTCACCCCTAATAAAAACAATATTAATATATATAAATTGATCGCAAATTTTTTTCACATAAAGTTATCCTTTATAAACATGATAGGGCATTCTAAGCTGGAGGAAAATTATTTGTCAATTAAATAAAATTAAAAAATGTTGAAATCGTCATTCCTCTCACCCGTCATTCCTCTCACTTTTTTGAATAAAAATTAAAAATTGATATGATTGTCGGTTGTTTACAAACTGCCAGTGAAAAGTGAACCTAAAATGTATGAAAAATAATTTTTGACAATTGTTTAAAGAGATTTTTGATAACTGTAAGTATTTCAAAATCTATAAAATTTATAGATAATATTAATAAATTATAATTTTTAAATAATTTTTTGTAAATAGAAAAATATATATAATAAAAAACGCCGGCGCCAAATTTTAACCTCTTAATTTTTTTGTAAATTTTAATTTAAAATATATACTTTAAAAGCTAAAAGTTAGCATGATCATGCTATAGAGGTGGTAGATTTTTGAAAGCTCAATA